TAAAAAATAAATAAAATAAAATGTTAGTAATGATAAAAGATGATTTTATGACAGAAGATGGGCCACCTTGATTAAGAAACAAACTTTGAAAAAGAGTTAATTTGTGGCAAAGCCAGAGTTTTTCAGAGAGAGTAAAAGGCAGTACGACAATACTGACAAGTTTCACCTATGACAAAGGTATTTGCCCTGTAATATTAACATGCAGGTGACATAAAGAAGGGCAGTTGAAGGTCACAGTTGAAATATAACCTGATGAATCATTAGATAGAAACCTGAAAGTCACTGACATAAGCATCACAGTTGAATGTCAAATATAGTCATTTTGGAAGGGAAGAGAGGTAAGTCAGATGTCTAAAAAAAAGTGTCAGAAGAAAAGCAGGAATAATATACTCCAATAAGGAGAATTTCCTATAATTACCCTTCTATGTTCTCTGTGAGGTAGCATGGAGGAAATTCTCTAAATGGTCACCTTCATACAAAATATGTTCTCTCTCCAATTTAAACAAAGAAGAAGAAAAATATGAGGCATACACGCTGGGAAGTGTTATTTCTCATAAACAAAAAACAAAGAATGATATTTCTGGGAAAATCAGATGAAACAATGTTCTCCCTTTAATTCTATCCAACATAATTTTTTATAGATTTCCTTAGAGCTTTAAGAAAATAACAGTATATCTAATACTGTGAATTGCATTATTAATTTATAAAGAAAGAGACAGGATTTTTACATAGCACATTATGTAAATGAGGTGAATTATTGCCTTTTTATATTAAACCGAAAATCTTCAATGAAATCCTCTTTAATTACACATATTAAATGATCAGAAAACAATCAACGTATTTTGCAAACTCATAAACAGTCAGAATAAACTAAATACCATTCAGCTCTTTAGTATCTTCATTCTCATCAATGAATTGCTTTTTTGAGCTTCTACGTCTTCCAGATGCCCACTAGTCCAATCAATTGTGCTAATTTTTTCCAACTCTACCTTTAATTACCAATAAAAATATGACTTGAAACACATACCATAGTTTTTAAATCCATACATTTATGACAAAGTGTGAGGACATTTTGTAATAACTCAAAAACACCACAAATTGAGACAATAATGAATTAACTGAATAATGAAGATTAATCATTAATTAATAATGAAAGAACATAATTTCAGAAAAGCATAATCTTCATTTTGAAGAGTTTTGTTTGTTTGTTTTGTTTTGTTTTGTTTTTTAATAACCCCATGTAATATACAATGATGCTTTCTGGCCTATACAACTTTGATGGAAAAGTTGCTGGCCAGTAAGTTTCATTTACTTGATTATGCATTTGGTTTCAAATTTGGCTGTTAGTACTCAGTGGTTATTTCCAGGCAAACTTTCAGCTAATAATCAGGTCAAAAGGCTGCCCAGCTGCACCTTTTTGAACTACAGTAAATACATCTCTGTCTAGTCTTATTATCATCTTTAGTGTCTGACATTTTGTAACAGAGTTTTGAAATCATATTTTATGGCAGTGAAGCTGCTAGGAAAAATTTATTGACTTAACAATCCCATCCAACATCTCCTGTCATGTGGAACCGTCCCCAGTACAAGGCAGATTAGTGAATGTGAGCTGCTTCCATTTGGCCCAACTATCTGGCTAAAGAATTTTCCATTACATGGGTGGATGAGATCAGCTGACTTTAGAACCATTCAATTTATTCTGTGGCAGCAGCGTAAGAGAAGACAATAGTGACTAGAACTGAATTTGCGCACACTTTTTGTACTGAGGTTCTGATGAAGTAGCAATGGTGAGATTATAAATTTTATTAATTAATTTTTATTATTTTTTAGACCGTCTCACTCTGTCGCCAGGCTGGAGTATAGTGGCCCGATCTCCACTCACTGCAATCTCCACCTTCCTGGTTCAAGTGTTTCCCCTGCCTTAGCCTCCAGAGTAGCTGGAATTACAGGCACTCACCACCATGCCAATATTTCGTATTTTAATAGAGACACGGTTTCACCATGTTGGCCAGGATGGTCTCGATCTACTGACCTCGTGATCCCCTCACCTTGGCTTCCCAAAGTGCTGGGATTATAGGCATGAGCCATCACACCTGGCCTCAATTTATTTTTTAAGTAGAAGCAAGCATCTACCCTTGAAAGCTGTTTTGGTATCTGCATCCACTGTAGATTCTGGACACAATGAGATGATAGTTAAAGCTCAACATGAAAAGGCCAGTTGATAGTACATGCCATTTCCCAGATGTTCAGTGGCGCCAAGGTTCTGTCGTAACTTTCCCTTTCATGCCAGGTCAATGAATAAGGCCGGGGACCTTTGGAATTCACTTTTAAGTGGTATGCTAGGCTTCTTTCAGTTCTGACAGTGCATTGTCTGCTATTACCTCTCATGTTCCACATTAAAATGGGGATAAAAACAAGGACAAATTGGTTGGGAAAAAAACATAAATAAGATTAGGTCCATGGTAACAAGATTTGCAAAATAGGTCAAATTTTCAGTCTAGTATTTGGAAATAAATAGATTTATGTTGTAACGTGAAAAGAGCTTTGAACTTACTTTGTAGTCAGAAAAAGCAATGAAAAGAAACAGCAATTATTTTTAATGACTAGAATTTCCTGTACTTGAAAATGGAATTTATCATTTTCAAAAGTAGGCAGTATATGTTGTAAATTACAGGTAGATTAACTCAATATTCTACAAGGTGTCTTGCTTGAAGTAAAATGCACAAATTTAAAATTATACTCACAGAGAAGAATAAAGTTATTTCCAAGCATTGGATCATATTGTTAACAATGTATGTAACATGGATAATATGTGAAATTTAACTGTTGGTGGTTTGATTTTCATATAAGTATTAAATTATTTTTATAAACATTTTATAATTATCCTATACTGTCTAAAACTTCATATTAAAAGCTGCTAAAATATTAGTGTCATGTAAGCAACAGATATTTCATAAATGCTTTTTGTCAATGACAGAAAAATGCTTTCCCCAAGGAGTTTCCATTTCTGTTATGTGTGGAATTAGTGAAGGCAATCATATATATTAACAAGATTTTCCTATTTAATTTAATTTGAGGACTATATTTTATTCTACAAAATAAAAATAATTGCCTCTAATTATCATTTTTGATCATATCAATGCCTTCGAAAAAATTCAGAGTTGGCCGGGCATGGTGGCTCATGCGCCTGTTATCCCAGCACTTTGGGAGGCCGAGGAGGGCGGATCACGAGGTCAAGAGATGGAGGCCATCCTGGCCAATATGGTGAAACCCCATCTCTACTAAAAATACAAAAATTAGCTTGTCATGATGGTGCACGCCTGTAGTCCCAGCTACTCAGGAGGCTGAAGCAGGAGAACTGCTTGAACCCGGGAGGCAGAAGTTACAGTGAGCCGAGATCGCACCACTGCACTCCAGCCTGGCGCCTGGTGACACAGCAAGACTGTCTCAAAAAAAAAAAAAAAAAAAATCTGACTTACCAAAATCATAGCCTTCTCACAATGTATATATAAATCAATAGAAAATATTTTAATCTGAATTTTGTAACTAAAAACTAGAATTAATCATAAAAAGTATTTGTAATAAACTTTTTCAAGGTTACAGAGGAATTTCAAACCCAATTAAAGCTAACCATAGATTTTAAGTAATGCTTAAAACCATAGAGTTTAAGGAATCCTTAAAATGTACATAAACTGAACACCTCATTTTATGCATTAAGAAACTGAAGGTTACATAGATGAAACCACTTACCCAGGGTCACAGAGCTTACATGTCAGATAAGAGATTCTTCACATTTTACAAATATAAATGTAATTTATATTTTCAATATTATCAATCATTTTTAAACTAAAATTTTAAAAGAGCATATCACCTTATATTCCTTTATAAATATATTTTATTGTAGATTATAAAATACGATGATCTTTCATGTCCTGACTATATTCAGAAAGCTTTTTATTAATTTCATAATATACCAATCTCCCAATAAAATATATAGCTTATACTATTTGTTACATTTTAATAAGACAAATAAAGATTTAAAGTCTCTGCTATTCATTATGCAGTTTTATATTATATAAATGTGTATTTTCATATTTTTCACAAATATAAAGCATCGTTGACAATTCTCCATTATACCTCCTACAATATATAAAACATTTAAGGGGAATGTAGTATAGATTTTGCAAACATAAACAAAATGAACAACAAATCCTCATGATGACTTCAGCCCCAATTATGTCACTAGTACTTAGTACTGCCCAAACTGGGAGACAGCATCATCTCAATGTTAATGTGAACCTAAACAGGGCTTTTGTCAACTTTAATATACCAAATCTAAAATATTCCATCTCTTCAAAAGGAAGCAGCATTTTATTTTATTTTTTGAGACAGAGTCTTGCTCCGTTGTACAGGCTGGAGTGCAGTGGCATGAACACTCGCTCACTGGAGCCTCCATCTCCTGGGCTCAAACATTCTCCCACTTCAGCCTGCCAAGTAGCTGGTACAACAGGCACAAGCCACAACACTCAGCTAATTTTTTTTAATTTGTTGTAGAGATGGGGTTCTACCATGTGGCCCAGGCTGGTCTCAAACTCCTGGGGTCAAGCAACACTCCCGCCTTGGCTTCCCAAAGTGCTAGGATTACAAACATGAGCCACTATACCCACTGGAGGCAGGATTTTAGAAACAAGAATGCAATACCTATATGACGCATCTAATCAGTGATTTCATGATGGCTTTACATAGGGTAACATCTTGATCCCCAAAACAATACCAGCACTAGGTAGAGAAGTTTTAGAAAAAAAATCACATTGAAATGCTTCAAAATATTATTATTGAATTATTTAAGAATTTCTATTTATTAAACAAGCATCTTTTTTATTACCAAATACATTCCAATCAAATGAACACTTTCTTACACATACTATATTCATAGAGACATCTATATTTTATATACTTATTTATCAAAATAGCAAACATTTTCTCTTATGTGTACTCACCTGTTCAGAAAAGAGGTCACTGTTATCTTCCAAGTATTTACTGAAAGGGTTGGGTTCATAGACTTCCTCCTCTTTTTTCAGTAATATTCTGGATTTTACAGGTACTGGGCGAATTACTCCAGGCTTAGTCTTCATGGATGTCAAATAAACGTTAAAAAAAAAAACACTATTAAAATGAACAAATAGGTGTCTTGTTAAGTCATTCAATGCTGTTCTCACAAAAAATTATATTTTTTAAAATTCTAAAATGACTTCGTAAATGCATAAAAACAGCCTAAAATCAAATGATTTTAGCTAATATGTTTATTTAAAACTTATCTATAACAGCAATCAGTTCATAAAGATCTACTATTGTAACATTCGAAATGCAAACATATTCTACCCTTGCTGGGGCATATTGTCAACAAACACTTCATTTGCTATATATTTGTTGAGAGTCTTCTCTGGGTCAGGAAGCATTCTGGGCACGATAGCATAGATGACTTTGGTATATCCACCAAGCCCATGACAACGTTCTTTTTCTGGAAAGTGCCTACCCTACATGTCCCAAAATCTCCAAAGCTGGACCCCCAGATGCCATGTTCATATTATGAACTGGGGTGGCTTTCTGACCTAAAAGAGTGGAGGGTGGGTGGCAAATAGATTGTCTCTTCCAATAGCCTGAAATAGGGATTTAAACTGCTCTGCAGAAACTATGGGAGACTGAAATTAAGCAATGTTATGGAGAAGCTACAGGGAAGCCTTAACATGACCTAAAAAGCAGACCTGGTGAGAGCAAGAAGACAGAGCAAAGTGCATGGAGGAAAGAGATACCTGAGGGCGTTCCAGAACTGAGACCCCAGACATTCCGGGGTTTACGTGGATTTACTGTCCTGAGATTCTTTAAGACTTTTTTTTTTCTTTTACACTAGATTCTCCCCCCAGCTTTTTTTTTTTTTTTTTTTTTGACCCAACATTACTTTTTAAACTTGGAATTGAAGAGTATTAGCTGAAACGTCACTCAAGATTCTTAGGCTTGTATCCAATGTCGATTTGACAAAGAGAGAGAGGGGGAGAACTCTAGCTTGGGGTAATTTCGAAATGATGTTTCTCAAATACCAAAATCTTGTTACCCTGTAAAGTATCACAAAAATATTGATGTTTGTAAAAACATCACAAACAGCAATTTAATAAAAAGCTGTGATGTTCTTTCTGTTTAATCATTTTGCTGCAATCAGTCTTCTCAATCCCATTTCCTTTCGGAAAATGGTAAATTAGCTCTTTTCAATCCATGCTGATACTCACGCGTTAAGCCTTAAGGGAGTACATCTATCTCTCTGCTCTAGAAAGCACTTGATATATTTTGAGTCTTGAATAAATGTCGCTCTGCAATACTTTCTTCAATAGATATTTTTCTAGTTATCTTTCATGTATATGACAACTGGGAAAATACAGTTTGAGACAAGTCTCTGTCTTCCCCAGACTCAGAAATATTTCCCACTAAAGAAACTCTGATTTTTCTCAAGGGGAAAAATAAACAAGTAACATCCAATTGTGCATGAAGTCATTCCATAGAGTATACACATGAGAGATGGAGTATACACACAAGAGTATACACATGAGAGCAATATTCCTCCATTAAGTGCCGCATAAGAACAAAGTCCAGGCAGTTCCTGATTTTATAGTCACCTGTAATTACAGAGATGCCTGATATCTGGGCCATGATCCTAAGTTGTCCACACTTCTCTTTTTCATTTGACTTCCTGCTTCATTTCTTCTTTCTCTTTCTCTTATTCCTGCACCTTCTCCTTCTCTTTTACTCCCTTGTGAGGCAGAAAACAAATGCAACTCCAGGACTCAGATGCTAAAAGGCTCTAAAACCAACATGGTACCTTAGGGGCTAAGCTTGGTATCACTATGCAGAAAGATGAAAGCAGGGAGAATTCCAGGAACACTTTGGATGGTAGGATAATCTCTGCCAGAGAAACATGACTGCCTGCGTCCCTTTATTGCAGTCAGATATTTGGCTTATCCTGGCCTAGAGCCTTCCACTTAGGTCATCTGTCTTGGGATCAGTCCCTTCCAGGATGACACCTGAAGAGAGACTCTTCTGGTTGGTTGGATATCAAATATATTAAGTAACAGAGTCTGTTACTGATGCTTCATATTTGTTTCTCTACCAGTTTTTATGATCTTTAGTTCTTATGAGTTTCCTGGATTTGATAGTTGTCTCTTATAATTAGAGAATTATTTTTGCTCCATTTCCTCCACTGTATTTGATTTTTCACACGTTTTTTCTTGGACTCGGTGTTTCCAGGTTTGGTCTATGTGAAGTCTCTGAGTCTTCCTCATTCTGTTTACTCACTTGGTCTTCTTATGGTTTCCCTGATTTTTATATTATATATATTCCCTTTTTCTTTAGTCCTGTTGTTGCTCCTACAACCTTAATTTATTGTTATCCAGTAGTCAATACTTCATAGATATGAAAGCCAACTCTAGGCAAAAGACGACTACACGTAGTTTGCCTTTGACATTGTTCATACTTCTCATCCTATGATCTTTAACCATACCTTTCAAACCCAACCATCTGTCAGTATTGGTCCAGTTAAAAATCTAACCCTAGTGTCCCAATTCTGATCCTCATGCACTCTCCAAAAACCTTTGTACAAGAATAAATCATCTGCATGGTAGCCTCTACACCTTGCTCATGCCTTTTCATGTGCTTCAAAAGCAGCTTCAAAACCTTTGAGGACCCTTTGCAGCTAATGACACTATCATTGTCTCATAGACACAGGTTTTATATTCTATCAATATAGAATCAAAAACTAAACTCAAAATTTTAGATAGATCATTTCATCAATTTCTTATCAATTCTGTGGGAGGTTTAAAGGTAATGAGTCACATGCCAAAGTCATGCAGTTAATATGTGAAGTTAAGGTTTAAATCCATATTGTGTCTGATCATCAAGCCTGTGATTTTAATTATTTCTATGCCTATTCTTAAGAGGAAGAGAGATGTCATAGAATAGACAGAAGCTTGAAATCATTGCTAAACATCCACCTTTCTGTAATTTATCCTGTCTAATTAACAAAACTCCTGTAATTTTTATATTTTGTATTCCTTTAAAATATATTGTTTCTCTGTTTTATTTTCACTGTCAACTGTCTCATCCTTGATTTTGTCTATTGTTAAGTCATTCTATGCCATTTTACTTTCTTTTCATTAGCCATCCTAAATATTCTCAGAACATTTAGGACCTAATGTTTTCAGTTCCTGGTGATGATACACATTCACACATACACTGTTTACGTGCGCGCGTGCACACACACACACACACACACACACCCCTCTACCACCACCTCCTAAAATGATCCATAATTTGCATGGCCAACATGTCAAAATTTCCACTGATGTCTCTGAACTTGGTTAAAATTATACTCTCATGAAGTTGCATAATATTGTAGAAGGAGAGCAACATGGACATAGATGTTAGTTTTTGCAATGTTGTTAACAAACTGTATTACATTGGAAAAGCCATTCAACCTGTGTAGACCTTCTGTTGAAGGGCAGTAATTCTAATACATGACTATGTCCTTTAATAATGGGTAATGACACATTTTACTACTCACCTTTTTGACCCCTCAGGAATTATACCATGCAGAGTTGTAGCAAAAGGTTTGTTTCTGCATTTTCAAATCCATCATCTAAACAAGGGTCTCAAAGTGCCACTTAGAAAGCTATAAAACAGCATATGTGAAGCAACTGACACTGTTTCATCACACATACATCTCTCTTGGAATATTAGTTAGCTTCCCCTCGATTCTTCCTCATACGCTGTTTAACAATGTCAAATGGTCATGTAATCTACATGTGCAACACAAAATTAATGTTCTATCCAATTAAGACATTGTCTGCTAGCATTTTGACTCTTAGAGTGAAGACTTTAGACCATTATCAGCATCATCTGGGAACATGTTATGAGTGCCAAGGCTCAGAGCCCGACCTAAATCTACTGAAACAGAACATGCATTTTTACAAATCCCTAAGAGATTCATGTACACATTAAAAGTGGAAAGACACTAGACTTGAACTCAATTCATTAAAATGTGCCGCTCATGTAGAGATAGATCTTTCTTGGTCTATCAATCCAGGGACATCCATTTGACCTTGTCTTCTGTCTCCAGACTGAAGGAAAGGCTTTAAAACAGACTATGCTTTATTAATTTCTAATCTACATTGCATTTTTGCCTGTCATCTTTGCTGATAGCTTTGGACTTCAAGTAAAGTTTCTCTTGAACAACTTCTCTAATTCTGGACAATTTATTTTGTTACATCTGTGTCCAAACAAACACAGAGGAAATTAGATTTATCAAGTTAGGAGAGTCTATAAATGTTAGCTATTGTAAGATTGTCATTGTTCAGCAATATTACAACTAAATTAACCTTAAGAGGCCCTTCTTTCATTTGTATCTGCTATAGGATCCATAGAATAGACTCATGACTGATAGATGCAAATGGCCCTCTAATGATGCCAGAAAAAGCAGTTTTGTAATTTTGTTTCCAGCCTATGTGGAAAAATAAAAAAGGTAATGACTCTCATAGCCAGTACAAAGGGCAGAAGAAGAAAAATGAGAAGATTCTCCCAATAGAAAATATCAATCCATGGATGTACTAAGAATTGATTTATACTGGGTATAGACATTTTTGAAGTGCCTGCAAGACAAAATAATTGTTTTGCAACTCTGAAGCACACCTCTACCAGATGTTCACTGGAGACATTTTGCCAACTGAGACTTAGTCTATGTCAGGAACTATAGTGTCTATAGAGATAAATAAGATATACCCCGTTTTCAGAGGGCTCACAATCCAGTCGAGGAAGCCACAAGATAACCATAATACAAGTCGAGTCATGTCACTCATCTCCTAAATGATGTCCATCAATTCCACATCAAGTCATGTCAACTTACTTCTAAAAGCTCTCTAGTGCCTCACGTTCTTACTGAGAGTGATATTCAAAACCCTTGTAGTGCCTACAAAGCAATACCTATAAGGGTGCTGTCTGACCTGATCTTTCCTATCCCTAATCAGCCTCTCTTTTTTCAGTCTTATTTCCCAGTGCTATCCCTTCCATCCCTTCACTCTTTCAACTC